CGGAAAGGAAAACCTACGAAACCAAGTCCTTTTATCCCTCAGTTTAGTGACTGTGCAAGATTAAAACTTACCTGTAGAATGGTAAGAAGAGAAACAAAGTACCGTTTCAGTTACTCTGGGACCTGGCCACTTCATGACAAAATATTTTCATCTCCTCATCCTCACCCACTCTTACAAATGAAAAAAATTTTAGTCTTTTTCCCAGTGAGGATCCCTTCAGGAAATGCTACTCTGACAGGGTTGTCTCCCACACAACTCACCCCTGAAATTTGGAGATCTTGCCCTCCTCTCTGCAGCAAAAAGGGAAATTTCTTTTCTGTATTTTGACTGACTTACATTTCTGATGATTTCTATTTTGACTGCAGAATGCACCGGAAATAGCCTTTTGACTCCTCCAAAACAACTTGCATGAGAAAAAAAATGTATCAAACACTCTCTATCCAGCTGAATTTTCCTCTTTATCCTTTACAACATTACAAAAACATTTAGAAAAATGTGGGTATATTTATTTCTTAAAACCTAAGGTTTCATTATTTATTTAGAAAAAATACATTTTTGGGCTGAATGGGGACTTATTTTTTCCTTTTGTTTGTGTAGAGAAGCCAACTGTCAAGATAAATACTAAGAACACAGTAGAAAAATATGTTAATCCTCTACTTATTCGTCTCTACAAGAGATTTAAATGGAAATTTATTATGGATATTACTAGATTCTGAACAGGAGCCAAACTAATTCTAAAAAAAGTGTTCTGTCTACATATTAACTATTGTAAACATGCCAAGATTCAATCTTATTTACTTTTCTCTCAAACATCTGATAGGATCCTGATCTTTTTTTTTTTGTAGGAGTTTTTTTTTTTTTTTTAACTTAATACAGAATACAACTGATCATGAATAATTTTGAGCAGTTGTTCTATTTAGTCAAATATCAGAGGTACTTCTGTGAGGATATTTTAGTTCTACATAATTTTTCAGCCTCTTACTCGAATAATTTCATTATAGGAAGAAATCTCTAGCCAAATAAAGCTTTTTTTAATATTTCATAGTTTCTTTTAGTTTTAGCTTACCCACAGAACCACTACTATAGCATGTATGGTGACACAGATAGTATGGCATCAAATATACAAAAATGTAAGTATAGTGGCACATTTCATGGCTAGGCTTTATGAACAAAGATTTGAGAAGGGGCTCTACCCACGCTTGCTACAAGCACGCTGATGGCTAAAAAGGCCAATGCGAGATAGACAAGTCCGGTTGCAGAACTTACAGCAGAAAGACTCCCCAGGTGATATAGATGACACATGATTCTTTCTGTGTTGTCTTTTCTCCTCGAGAGTGATCCTGAGTGTGTTCTCAAAAGCAGCAGCAGCGTTATAGATGGTGTGTCTCCAGGGCTCCCGATTGGAGGCCAGGGTAGACCAATGGACCAATATGGCCAAGGCTGAGGGATTGTTTCAGGCAGTCCTTGTATCTCCTCTTCGGGGCTCCTCTCTTGCGGTAGCAAGTGGCAAGTTCCCCATAGGGCATGATCTTAGGGAGGCGATGGTCCTGCATCCTGGAGACGTGCCCTGCCCAGCGCAGCTGAGTTCTCAGCAGCATGGCCTCAATGCTTGGGACTGCTGCCTGTTCAAGGCCAGATGTGTTGGTCACATAATCCATCCAGTGGATGTTTAGGATTGTATGGAGGCAGCGCTGATGGAAGCATTTTAAGAGAAGTGACTTATATAACTGATTTAATTAGACAAAAATCACATTTTTAGTCTAGGGAAAAAAAATCAAGCAGAAATTTAAGGTTTTTCCACATGACCTGAAAAGTGTTATAATATGGTAAGTTTTGTATTACATCAAATTTTTAATACTACAAAACATAGGCAGTTAGATCATCATTAGAGATGATTTGAATGTTGCATCAAAATTTGATCAATCTGCTTGGCAAACAGAGAACAGGAGCTTCGTACTCTGTCATTTTTTAATGTATCATACTGTTTACCTAAAGATTATGCCTATGTTTGGCAACATTCTGAATGACCAAGCAACCTCTTTCAAGGAGAGCACTGCTTGCTCGACATGGAGAGGGACCTAGAAAGCTTATCTCTACCCTTCAGCCGGTTGGTTAACCACGGCCAACGGGCATCTTCTGATGCAGCTGAATAAAGATTAAGAGTCAAAGGCATACACCTGCCTTCAAAGGAGTGTCCAAATTGACACTTGCATGCTGGAACATCAGAACCATGCATGATACTGCAGATAGTGGACATCCTGAGCGTTGTTCTTCTCTAATTGTCCACCAACTGTCATGACTTAACATTGACATCGCTGCTCTCAGTGAAGTTCATCTCCATGAGGAAGGCAGCCTTAGAGAACATGGTGCCGGTTATACACTTTTACTGGTCAGGTAAACCCAGAACTGAAAGGCATCTTTCAGGAGTTGGCTTGATGATTAAAAATTCTATTGTCTCTAAACTTGCCTACAGTTCATTCCAATTGTATTATCTCCTTATGCCTCCCACTACACAACAAACAACATGTTGTTCTCTTTTGCATATATGCCCCAACCCTCCAAGCTGACCCTGCCAAAAAAGATAAATTCTACAACGGCCTGAGCCACCTTACCTGAAAGGTTCCTGTAGATGATAAGATCGTAATTCTTATTTCAACATCAAAGTAGGAAAGAACTCTGAAGCCTGGAAAGGAGTATTAGGTAAGCATAGGGCTGGAAACTGCAACGATAATGGATGCCTTCTGCTAGAGTTTTGTGTGGAGTAGCAGCTCACCATCACCAACAGTATCTTTCAGCAGAAAGATAGTTTGAAGACAACCTGGATGCATCCTTGATCCAAGCATTGGCACCTCACTTGGTACAACAGAGAAATGTTTGTGATGTTTATCACACCCGCATGATGTGAAAAACAAGGACAGGTTAAATGAAAACAATCAAGAGATCCAGGAATTGTTGATAAAGAAGAGAACTGCTCACCAAGCACACCTTGCTCAGCCATCTTGCTATGTAAGAAAAGCAGCTTTTCATCTTGCATGCAGTAAGTTCCAACAGAAACTTTGAGACATCCGGAACAAGTGGTATATCAATCTAGCAGAAAAGATTCAATTATGTGCAGAGTCGGGTGATTACAGAGGATTCTATTAGGCCTTGAAAGCAGAGTACGGACCAATGCACCAGGTTCAAAGCCCTTTACTCAGCGCAGATGGTCAGATGATTCTCACAGATAAAACTTCAATTCTGAATCGATGGTCTGAATATTTTCAGACTCTTTTCAGTAACAAATGTGTAGTTCAAGGCATAGCAATTCCTTAGATTACACAACAACCAGTGAAAAATGAATCGGATATTGCACCTACTACGGGAGAAACTCTTAAAGCCATACAGCAGATGAAAACTGGCAAGGCAGTAGGGGTTGAAGAATTTCACCTGAAATCTGGAAGCGTGGAGGCCAAGCACTCCATGTTAAATTTCACAAGTTTGTGGTGTGTTGTTGGGAACTAGGTGATTTGCCATCAGATCTTCGTGATCCAGTCATCATCACTCTGTTCAAATTACCAAGGTATTACTTTGTTCTCCATTGCTGGTAAAATCCCTGCAAGAATACTTTTGAACAGATTAATATCCACTATAGCAAAAGACCATCTAACTGAAAGCCAATGTGATTTCAGAGCCAATAGGAGTACCACAGACATGGTATTTGTTTTCAGACAACTGCAAGAGAAATGTAGGGAACAGAACAAAGGACTCCATGTAACTTTTGTTGATTTTACCAAATAACTTTTGGTACTATGAGTAGAAAAGGTTTGTGGTAGATTTTGGAAGGTTTAGGATGTCCACCCAAGTTCCTCAAAATGATCATTCTGCTCCACGAGGATCAGCATGGTCAAGTCAGATATGGTGATGCTCTTTCTGAGCCGTTTCCAATAACCAGTGGTGTGAAACAAGGTTGCACCAACTTTATTCACAATCCTCTTTAGCATGATGCTCCAAACAGCCAAGGCAGACCTTAATGAAGAAAATGTTATCTGCATCTGATATCATACCGATGGGAGCCTATTCAACCTAAGGTGACTGAAGGCCCACACTAAGACCTTAAATCATTTTGTCTTTTTGCTGATGATGCTGCCTTATCACCCACACAGAAGCAGCTCTGCAGCGTTTAACATCCTGCTTTGCAGAGGCTGCTGAGTTTTTTGGGCTAGAAGTCTTCCTGAAGAAGACAGAAGTTTTCTATCAACTTGCACCTCACGAAGTCTTTCATCATCCCCATATTGTTGAATCAGAGCTCAAGTCAGTCGAGCAGCTTAATTATTTGGGAAGCATCATCTCCTTGGACAGTAAAATTGACAAAGAGAAAAGAGACAGGGAACTGGTTAGCAAAGGCATACAGAGCTTTTGGAAAACTCTATAAAAGAGTTTGGTATAATAAACACCCAAAGAAAAGTGCAAAGATCAGTGTTTACAGAGCCATTGTACTGCTTACTCTTTTGTATGGATCTGAGTCATGGGTCATTTACCTCCACCACTTGAGACTCTTCCATCAGCACAGCCTCTGTATAATCCTAAACATCCACTGGATGGATTATGTGACCAACACATCCCAGTCGGGAGACGTGGAGACGTACTATTTATAACACTACTACTTCTTTTAAGAACACACGCAGAATCATTCTTGAGGAGAAAAGACAACACAGAAAGAACTGTGTCTTGCTAATATTGTCTAAGGAGACTTCCATTGTGCCTTTTGCAACCGGACTTGTCTATCTGGCTTTGACCTTTTTAACCATCAGTGCACTTGCAGCAAGTGCAAGTCGAGTCCTTCTCAAATTTTCATTCGCGAAGCCTGGCCATGATGATGATGATGATGCCTAGTATAAAAAAAAAAAAAAAATTCTTGGGTTTGAAAAGAAGAATCATGTTTTTAAGATCAAAAAAAATTTGGTTGATGAGTCTATGTCAGGCAATTCTATGGGCACAGAGTTGGGGAGAATGAAGTTAAATCCAGCTGGTGGACAGTCACTAGTGGTATTCCCAGGGACTCAGTATTGGGGCCAGTCCTGTTTAAAATCTTTGTCAATGATCTGGACAAGGGATCAAGTTCACCTTTACTCAATCTGCAGATGACAGGAGGTTGGGTAGGAATGTTGATCTGCTGGAGGGAAGGAAGGTTCTGCAGAAGGATCTGGACAGACTGGATTGATGGGCTGAGGCCAGTGGTATGAATTTCAGCAAGGCCAAGTGCTGGATCCTGGGGTCGCAACAACCCCGGACAATGCTACAAGCAGGGGACAGAGTAGCTGGAAAACTGCCCAGTAGAAAAGACCTGTAGACGCTGATTAACAGTAGCTGAATATTAGCCATAGTGTGCCCAGGTGTCCAAGAAGGCCAATCAATGGCTTGGATCAGCAATAGTGTGGCCAGCAGGACCAGGGCAGTGACTGTCCCCCTGTACTGGGCACTGGCGAGGCCACAACTTGAATCCTGAGTCCAGTTTTAGGCCCCTAATTCCAAGAAAGACATTGAGGAGCATGATCAGAGAAGGGCAATGGAGCTGGGGAAAGGTCTGGAGCACACGGATTATGAGGAGTATCTGAGGAATTTGGGAGTGTTTAGCGTGGAAAAAAGGAGGCTCAGAGGTGACCTTATCCCTCTTTACAATTGCCTGAAAGGATATTGTATTGACGTGGGGGCTGATTTGTTCTCCCAGATAAGGGATAAGACACGAGGAAATGCCCTCAAGTTTCCCTAGGGAAGGTTGTGATTAAATATTAAGAACAATTTCTTCATGTAAAATGTAATCAGGAATTGGAAAAAGCTGCCTAGAGAAGTGGTGGAATCACCATCACTGGAAGTGAAAATAAGCCCTTCCTACCTTTCAGTGTTTCTGATGCATTCAGGGTCCTGAGAAACCAAAGTCTTGTGTTCATCTTTGAGTCAGCCCAGTCCCATAAAAACATGGCCTCATAAATACTCTTTATGCAAGTACTTTTTTCTTACATCATTTTCTCTTTACTGTTATAACAGGTATCTAGTATGAAGATAACAAGGCTTTAGTGAATGTTGAAGGGTGTATTGCTTTTAAAGTGCAAAATGATCACAGCGAATGTTTGTAGAAGATCAAAGGACATCAGACCAGTGAAAATTAGTGAGTTCATTTAATTAAACATATTGGTTAACATAAGGTCAGTGTAATGTAGCAGTCTCATTACATGCCCCTATAGATAAAACTTCTATACTGTCATTTTGGTTGCTACTTCCTGTTTATGGCAAATATGTACATGCATCACAAATCTGTTATACAGTGATGCATTATTACAACCTCTACAACAAATTTGTAGTGCAATCAATAGCAGATAGGACCATTTTTCCAGCATAGTTTTGGCTTTTTTTACAGTCCATAGACAGTTAACTTTGAAATAAAAGTTCATATGAAAAATATTAAATAATTTTCAAATTTTAAAAACTAATTTTCCATCTTTATCTACAAATTCAACATGTAGATCCGGTGGTTACCAACATAACTGAGCTAATAGGGGATGTCATGACTGGAAGCAGCCTGGGCTGATCATGCATTGGTAGAGCTTGCAGTCCTGACACATATGGGTGAGGTAAGGAGTAAAGTTAGGTTCCTGAACTTTAGGATAGCAGAATTCCAGCTCTGCAGGGAGAGAGTCAGTGGGATCCCCTGGAAGACAAGAGAGGGGGAACAGGGCTAGCAGATCTTTAAAGAAGTGTTTCATAGAGTGCAAGAGCTGGAAATCCCCAGGAGCAAGAAATCAGTTAAGAAAGACAAAAACCCAGCAGGGAAGAGTAGGGAAAGAGAAAGAAGTATATACACAGACAGCTGATGCTAGGACAGGTGACCTGGGAAGGGTATAGAGATGAAGTTTGGTTGTGTAGGGATGATATGAAGATGACCAAGGCAAAGCTGGAACTGAACCTAGCAAGACATGCAAAAAATAACAAGGACTTCTACAGTTACATAAACCAGAAAATGAAGGTCACAGGAGGTGTACTCCCCATGATAAACAACATTGGTAACAATGAATAAGGAAAAAGCTGAGGAGTTCACTACATTTTTTTTTTACCAGTCTTCAATGGCATCCTCTCTTCCCACACCTCTTGAGTGAATGGACAGCAGGAGGAGAGTCTGGGGAGAGAAAATCCCTCCCAAGATAACCGAAATCAGGTTCATGACCACTTGAGGAATCTGAGTGTACGTAAGTCTGTAAGATCTGATGAGATACATCCTAGAGTCCTGAGGGAATGGCTGATGTAGGTGCCAAGAAACTCTCTGTGGTATTTGAAAAGTCATGGTAGTCAGGCAAAGTTCCAGGTGACTGGAAAAAAACAAGAATTGTACCCACCTTTAAAAAGGGAAGAAAGGAGGACTCTGGGAACTCCAGACCTGTTAGCCTCATCTCTGTGCTTGGGAAGATTATGGAACAGATCCTCCTAGACATACTCTAAAGCGCATGGAGGACAAGGAGGTTATTGACTTGAGACAGTCAACACAGTGTCAAGAAGGGCAAGTCCTGCCTGACCAACCCCATGGCCTTCTATGATGGAGTGACTACATCAGTTGTCAAGGGAAGGGCTACAGATGTCATTTATCTGGACTTCTGTAAGGCCTTTGACACAATCCCTCAGAACATCCTGTCTCTAAATTGGAGACAGATGGATTTGATGGGTGGACTGTTAGATAATAAAGTGATTGGATGGCCACATGCAGAGGAGGTCAAAAACTCAGAGTCCAAATGTACATCAGTGGCAGGTGATTTATCTTAGGGCTCTGTATTGTGAACAATGTTATATAATATCTTCATTATTTATATGGATGAAGGGGTCTTCAGCAAATTTGCAGATGACACCAAGCTGAGTGGTGCAGTTGATACCTCTGAAGGATGTGATGCCATCCAGAGGGACTTGGACAAGCTTGAAAAGTAGGTTCAAGTGAAAGGTCAAGTAAAAGGTGCTGCACCTTAGTCAGGGCAACCCCCAGTATCAGCACAAACTGGGGATGAAAAAATCAAGAGAAGCCCTGGCAAGAAGGACTTGGGGGGGCTGGATGAGAGGTTGGATGTGACCCAGTAACATGCACTTGCAGCACAGAAAGCCAGTTATATTCTGGGCTGCACCAGAACCAGCATGGCCAGGAGGGCAAGGGAAGTGACTCTGCCTCTCTGCTCTGCTCTCATGAGGGCCCACTGGGAGCACAGCATACAGCTCTGCGGTTCCTAGTACTGGATGGACATCAAGCTGTTGGAGTGAGCCTGGAGGAGGCTGCCAAGATGATTAGAGGAGGGATGGAGCAATTATCCTATGAGGAAAGGCTGAGAAAATTGGGAGTGTCCTGGAAAAGAGAAGGCTTTGCCAAGTCCTAATTTCAGCCTTCAATACCTGAAAGGAGCCTACAAGAAAGATAGAAAGGAACTTTTTGAGGGCATGTAGTGACAGGACAAAGGGAAATGGCTTCAAACTCAAAGAGAGTAGGTTTACATTAGATATTGGGAAAAAATTCTTTTCTATGAGGGTCATAGTAAATAATGTCATGGGAACAGGTTGCCCAGAGAAGTTGTGGATGCCCCATCCCTGGAAGTATTTAAGGTAAGGCTGGATGGAGCTCTGAGCAACCTGGTATAGTGGAAGGTGTCCCTGCCTACAGAAAAGAGTTTGGAACTAGATGATTTTTAAGGTCCCTTCCAACCCAAACCATTCTATAATTCTATGATTCTATGATATATATTAGTGTTTCTATCCATGGCATCATTCTTCATCAAATTGATGGCTACAAAATTTGAAGAGATTCGCCATAATAATCTCATAATTCTCAGTGAGAATTGTAGTTATATCACACAAAATTCATTCTATCTGGATCCACATTAATGTATCCCAACATAGATGGCTGTGTATAGACTGAATATTTCACCTGGAGTGATTTCCTTTGTATTATTAAAACAACCAGAAGTTCACAAGTATTTGTTTATTCTAACACTTCAGAGTGAAATATTTGGAGAAATATGGAAGGATGCACTGGGCTATGTGTTCCAGCAGAGCTGGAAGTGAGAGCACAGACACAACAAGTTAATTTAATCCTTCTTCTATGAACATCTCATGAGTGCTTGGTGCCTTAACCCTTTTAAATAAGCAAGAGTATGAAGATAGAAATGGGTATATCTGATTTTTAAAAAAGAAGTTTAACTATGATTTAAGTATACTAAGAGAAATATTTTCAGTGTATTCACTCTTTCATTTTACTTAAACCTAGTGTGTACTAGCAAGAACTGTGGGGAAAATTTTATTCATAGCCCTATAAAGGTTTCTTTGTATCTGGCCTGTCAGTTTCTAAGTCAAATTGTTATGTTCAGACAATCAAAATATTTACATATTATAAAGATGGGCAAATTTTTTTTTTAGTAACAAATGAGTTAAGCACAGTTTCCAAGGAAAAAAAGTGAGAATATTTCTTATTGGGTAAGCATCCTCAAGTTTATTTCAGTCTAAGTGAATGCTTCTCTGCAAGTAGCCAGTGTTCAAAACCTCTAAAAACTACAAGGTAAGTCTTTCTCTCACACTCCTACTTCTAAATAACAATTAAATATTATTCCTCGTAACATTCATTTAGCTAACCCTCAATAGCTTCCTGTAAAAGTCAACTGGTGACTGACATGTAACATAGTACAGGTTTAACTCCATATCTTTAACCTAATCACCTAAAAAACAAATTATCACCTAAAATAAATGTCAGACATTTTTTGAAAAATACTGTGAATATTTAGGGGCACAGAAATATTTGCTTTTACTCTGCTTGAAAATGTAACACTACTTACAAGATCAAAAAATCCCCAACTCAAGGTGTCTTGGTAATTTGAAACTGCTATACCACTCACGTCCTACATTTCAAATTCCTGTCAATAACTCTGCTGTTCTCAGCAACTCTAGTACAGATCCTGCTTCCCGTTACCTGGGCTTGTGAAATAGGAAATACTCAATAAACTGAATTTAGAGAAAATCAGTTTTAAATATAATTTTTCTACACAAAAATTCAGGCACAATCTTCCAATTCAATTTAGCAATTTTGTATCCTGTACTTGGGACCTTTATACAGCCTATG